GGGGCGGCCGGAAGCAGGGGGCGGGGCTTCGTCATGTGCCCCGCCCCCCGGTACCTCACCCGAGGGAACTGTGTTCCCCCGCGTTCCCCCCTGAAATGACCTCTGCTGGGCGCACATCTGGGATGTAAAGAGGGCGTGGTGAGAACGATCCCAAAATGGCTGCCAGAGAAGGCGGAGCTGAACGGGGTACCTCCCTCCTTACACTGTCTGGAAGGAGAAGAGCCTGAAAGGGAAAGGGAACCACACCCTGACTAAGGGGAGTCCAGGAACTTGCCAGTCCTCCTGGTCCTCCGGGAGAAACCACTTTCCTTTCAACGAGGGCAGCCAGCGACAACCCTCCAGGAGGAGAAACCACTTTCCTTTCAACCAGGGCAGCCAGCAACAAGCCCTGCCTTACAGTGGTCCCGCCCTCTTTCCTGAAGAGCTTGGCAGGCGCCAATGGAAGTACTGGTGGGCCCCCTGTTGGGGAACACTAGTGTAGACCCTGCCACACAGGAACACACACGAAACTGCCTTATACTGAATCAGACCCTGGGTCCATCAAGGTCAGTGTTATCCACTCTGACTGACAGCGGCTCCCCGGGGTCTCAGAGTGAGGCCTTTCATATCACCTATTATGTGATCCTTTTAATTGGAGATGCCTGGGATTGAACCTGGGGCCTTCTGCGTGCAGAGCAGATGCTCTACCACTGAGCCACGGCCTCTCCAATGCCAGATCATAGAATCACAGAATGACAGAGTTGGAAGGGACCTTGCAGGTCATCTAGTCCAACCCCCTGCACTCTGCAGGAGCATAGCCGAAAGAGAGCCCTACAACATACCCGGAAGATGGTCGTCCAGCCTCCGCCTGAAAACGCCCACCGAAGGAGCATCCGCCACCTCCCGAGGCAGACTGTTCCACTGCTCAACCACTCTTACAGTTAGGAAGTTTTTCCTGATATTTAGCCAGTAACGACTCCCTTGTCATTTCCACCCATTAGATCTAGTCTTGCAACCCGGAGCAAGAGAAAATAGATCTGCTCCATCTTCTACATGACAGCCCTTCAGATACTTGAAGACTGCAATCATGTCCCCTCTAAGCCTTCTCTTTCCCAGGCTAAACATACCCAACTCTTTCAGCCTTTCCTCGTAAGACTTGGATTCCAACCCTCTCACCATCCTGGTTGCCCTCTTCTGGACACGCTCAAAACCCACGCTCAAACCCTCAAAACTGGACACACTCAAAACCCACGCCAGTGTTCCCTCTAAGCTGTGTTAGTGTGAGCCAGCTCACAGTTTTTTAGCCTCTAGCTCACAGATTTTTGTCTTGGC